TATATAATGTGTGTGTGTATGTGTGTGTGTCTATGTACTGTGTCGATTTACTGTGTCTATGTACTTTGTCTATGTGTATAAGTGTATATCAATATGATTAGTGTATATAGATATGGTTAGTGTATGAGTATATATATACATAGTATGTGTATGAGTGTATATAAAAGTATTAGATGTATTCCTGTCTATATATTGTGTGTTTGTGTTTGAATGTATACATATATATTATGTGTAAGTCTCTCTATATGATGTGTGTATTTGTATGCTATATCGAGAGACTGAGCCGCAACCAGCTCATGCGGTACAGCCTGCGGTTTATTTACTAATGTGTGGGTGTGTCCTGGTATGTTAAGTGTTGGTGTGTTAAGTGTCGACATGCGCATACATATGTAAACTTACGCATAAATAAACAAAGGGCTTAAAGGTTTTCTAAGTTGTCTCCCAAGTAACTAGCGACCGCTGTAAGCTTTTAGGGTTTTAGGGTTTTAGATAATAACTTGGTGGTACCTCTAGACCACCTCAGGCAGTGGTACTGTAGACGCAGTAGTGTCTTTTACAGTTGCAATGTTTGTCATATAACTGACTGTGTCTTTAGACCACCCCAGCCAGTGCTACTGTAGACTCAGTAGTGTCTGTTTCAGGTGCAATGTTTGATATACAATTAACTGTGATGTGCGCACTCCCCTTACTGCAGTCGATGCCACATATGATCACATGCGGACATATGACTAATGCTGAACACAATGACAATCAATAGACTTGTAGCACATACAAACCCATACTACCTATGCAAGCAACATCCACTAGGTGATGTATGAATGCACTGCACCTGTTTCTCTACACGTAGGACCGGCTTTCCGGCAAGACGGGGACAAGTTCTACGTACTAGGCGTGGTGAGCTTTGGTAGCCAAGACTGCGCCGATGGAAACCCTGGGGTGTACACAAAGATCGCAGACTACGTTGATTGGATTGAGTCGTATGTTGGGTGTTGGGGGGGCTATTTGTATCTGTGACTATATATATATATATATATATAATATATATATATATATATAGTATGTATTATGTATGTATATATATATATATAGTATATATATACTATATATAGTATACATAAAATATATATATAACATATACATACATACATATATATATATATATATATATATAATTGGTTGTATTGAGTCGTATGTTGGATGGTGGGTGGGCTGAGTGTGTCTGTGACTCTCTACATATAAATATATACATATATATATGTATAAATATGAGTATGTATATATATATATATATATGTAAATGATTACTGTATTTAGTCGTATGTTGGTTGTTGGGTGGGCTAAGTGTGTCTGTGGCTATATATATATATATATGTATATATGTATATATATATATTAAATACAAATGTATATATATTAAATACAAATGTATATATATAAATATGTATATATGTATATATATTTATATATATATATATATATGTATATGTATATGTATATGTATATATATATATATAAATATATACAAATATACGAATATGTATATATGTATACACATACTATTGGTTTTATTGAGTCGTATGTTTGGTGCGGTGTGGGCTGAGTGTGACTTTGACTATATATATATGTATATATATATATATACATATTACATATAGACACATAGTATATATATCACATATAGGCATCATATGTTGCATATACACACAAATCATATATGGTACATATAGACACATATTATATGTATTACATATAGACACATAGTATATATATTACACATAGATACTTCCTATATGTCACATATACACACAAATCATATATAGTACACAGACTTATCATATATAGTACATATAGACACATAGTATATTTAATACATATAGACATATCATATATGATACATTTACACACAAACCATATATAGTACATATACACACGTATACATATTACATATACACACAAACCATACATATTACATATACACACAAACCATACATATTACATACACACACCTACCATTCCGTGCCCACCGCAGACACACCGAACCCTGGACCTGGGCGGACGATTGCGCCACCTTAAAGCCGTGTCTGAATGAGGGCGTCTGCAAAGACTGTGACTGGCAGGGCTGTTACAACGGCCAGGGCTACTACTTCTGCACTTGCGCCAACGGGTACGTGGATGCAGGGTTGTAGGGTGTAGGGTTTGGTTTGCGACATGCGTGCGGGTCTTGACAAATTTACGACATATGTGTGGACGATACAGAGATAACGAACGCAGGTGTAGTTTTGATATGTTCGTGATATGTACAAACGCGGGTTTTGGTTAGTATGCAACATGCGTGAGGGTCTTGACAACTTTACGACATACGCATAGATGTACTGTAGATTGCGACATAGGTGCGGTCTCGAATTATTTGCGACATAACCGCGGGTGTGGGCTAGTTTACGACATGTCGTGTCAGTAATTGATGACTAATTTTACGACATGGGTGCGGTTTTCATTCCGTTTGAGACCCTTTCAAACTATGCTCTGTGATATTGAGACATCGGGTGATGTATAGTGAGATAGTGCTCGGAAGACATACACTTAGATCCCTAAGTTGTCATATAGACAGCATATATGTGACATATAGACGTACCATATATGTTTCATATAGGCATATTATATATGCTACATACAGACACATATCATATAGGATACGTATAGATACATAGTATGAATACTACATCTAGATACATAGCATATATATTACATACACACATATATCATATGTATTACATATAGCTACAGAGTATATATATATTACATATAGACACATATTATATATATATTACATATACACATAGTATATATGTTTCATATAGACACATAGTAATATATATTACATATAGACATGGTATATATGTTACATCTAGCCACATAGTATATATATATTACATATAGACACATATTATATATATATTACATATAGACATAGCATATATGTTACATATAGACACATAGTATATATATATTGCATATAGACATAGTACATATAGACACATAGTGTATATATCACATATAGACACATAGTATACATAGTACATGTAGACACGTATTGTATATGTTACATGTAGACAAATAGTATATATGTTACATGTAGACAGATAGTAGATATGTTACAAATAGACACCAACACTAAGCCCTATCCCCCTAAAACGCTACACACCCCCACAGATTCAGTGGTACTAACTGCAACGACACAGGCACACCATGGGTCAACATGATCGCCGCAGCTCAGGTCCGTACCTCGGCGAGAGCGGCGGGTGTGGTGTGGGCAGAGGAGCCGTTTAACGCTGCAGTAGTTGCACGCGTGAACACGGCTCTGTATACTACGCTTGCTGCGTGTATTGCTGTGCTTTGGCTGTATGTGCGCGCGCGTGTGTGTGTGTGTGCGTGCGTGTTACACGTGGGTGTGGGTGTAGTATACACATGTGGAAGTATATGTGTGTGGAGGTATGGATGTGCATATGTATGTAATCAGTGTGTGTGTGTGTATGGTGTCTGTGATTCGGAGGGAGAGATGAATGTTGTCCGTCTCCGCAGACGCGTTGTCTCGTGCGGCGGCTGTAGCGAAATTGAACACACCCCATTGCGCTGCATTTGCTGAGTGCAATGCTTTACTTTGGTTATACGAAAGTATGTGTGTGTGTGTATACGCACATGTGCATAGAACTTACACTTAGAAATATTAGAGCATATATATGTATGATTAGACGATGTATAAGCATGTTCATAGGTTCATAGACTACATACATAGACGTGATAGAATATATTTTAGTATGAATAGATGGACATATGCACTTGTATGAGCATGTTCATATACATATATGTATATTTGTATATGTGTACAATATATATATGCATATCATATATTATTTTTTATTTACAAATATATATATATATGTATAAATATATATATATATATATATATATATATGTACACATACACACACACATACACACACACACACATTGTATATATATTTTATATATATTTTATTATATTATTATATTATTATATTATTATATTATTATATTATATTATATTATATATAGATATATATATATATGTATATATATTACCACTAGTTGTGTGTCTGCTAGTATCTTGCAGCATGCATGTTCGCCTACGTGTGTGGTAAAAAAAATAAAGCATCTCCTCAATAATGATGAAGTAGTTATGCATATATGTGTTGTACGTTGAAGTAGTTGCGTATATGTGTGTGCCCGTGTCAACGAGTGCCGTTGTCCAGTCCAAAATGGCATAGATATAGCTCTGGCATTATCCTCTCTTTTTCTCTTCTTTTTTGTCAATAAAACGATAAAGTTCTGTTCATTTGTACTATGCTCTCTAGTTTAGGAATCTATATCGCAGTAACACGTGGACCTCTAAATATATTCAACGTTTAATGCAGCACGTTAACAATGCACAATATACGTCTAGAAACAGATCATTCAATGTTGAACAAACCCCTGCATGCACGCCTAGGAACACATTATTCAATGTTGATTAAATTCCTGACTATAGTGCCCATTCCATATACGACACACTACAGAATATAAACACCGCGCCGAAAACCCAGCAATCTGCCGAGGCAAACGACGACGATGACTATATACAAGCGACCGATTCTGCAGGCACCCACACCATAGTTGGCTACGGGGCCATCGGTCTGAGTGTCGGCGTTGCCATGGCAACGGCCCTCATGTAGATATCCCGTCCCTGTCTACGAGGGAGTGATGCGATGTGTTTGATAGGGATAGGGCAAAGCGGTGGTGTCTTGCGGCAAGGACTTGCATAGAGGGGGGAGTGTGCTCGCTTGGGGGACGAGACTTACTTCTGTAGGATACATTTACACCCACATGCCCATGCGTATATGCACGTTTATTTTGAATATATACGCATGTATTGTACATACATACACATGAAGTTCACATACATACACATGTAGTTCACATACATACACATGTAGTTCACACATATACACCACTATGTCACTTGCATCCTGTTGTACAGTATGGAGGTTGGGGACGCACACGTACATAGTATGTGCGCATAGCTATATAACTTGCATTGTACTAGGCAAGTACAAGCAGTACGACTGCATGGTCACATACACAGACTAAGCTTGTCACAGGTACACATACGTAGAAACTCGCACACACACACATATATATATATATATATATATATATATATATTATAAACACACATCTGTATAAAGATATCAGGTTTACAATCAAACGATACGTGTGCTACCGGTTCACCAAGAAACAATAGTATCTCGATAGTGGTTTCCGGTTGTTATGCGTAGTCACCGATATGATTCCCTATGTCCCCTTGTGTATTGTATGCAATGTTAGATAGGCCTCGGCTGACCTACCTCGTTTAAAAAAACAATGATAATAAACTAAGTTCAAATATGATAAGCTTTCATGAATACCAGTATGACAAATGAAATTAAAATATACGAAAGTATTCATTTGGATAGTTGCTTCGTCTCAGTCAAACTCCGCATCGGTCGCATCCTTCACACATGTTCAGAGAAATAAAGATACACGCATATACTTCCCAAACCCTAAACCCCTAAAACCATCGGGAAAATCAACTGAGCTCCGTTGAACAGAACCAAATTAAGGCAGGCGCTAAACAAGTGTGCTCTGTTCGTTATTCGGCTGCAAGCGGATGTTAGAGCTTTGCCAACGCGTTCAATGGATTACATATGACAGTATACACAAACATTCCCACCAGTTTCCGTCATAAACTTTATTATCCCGGTTATATACTATACCATCCCCGTTATATTCAGTACTATCTCCGTTATGTACTTTGCTATCTCGGTTTTATACTATACCATCCCATTTATAAACTAGGCTATCTCCGTTGTATTCTGTACTATCTCCGTTTTATACTGTACCATCTCCGTTGTCTACTATACTATACCATCTCCGTTATATACTAAACCATCCTCGTTATATACTAAACCATCCTCGTTATATAGTTTACTATCTCGGTTCTATAATATACCATCCCGAAATGTACTATTCCATTTCCGTTATATACTATTCTATTTCCGATATATACTATATCGTCACCGTTGAATATTATGCTATCTTCGTTTTATACTATATCATCTCCATTATAAACTCTCCGTTGTTTATTATGTTATATACTATAGTATACTATCTTCGTTATATACTATACAATCTCCATTATAAACTGTCTCCGATATATATTATGTTATATACTAAGTATAGTATACTATCTTCGTTATATGCTATACCATCTCCATTATATGCTATATCAGTTTCATACTATACCATCTCCGCTATATACTACCATTTCCGATATATACTATACGATCACCCGTTATATACTATACTAAACGAATACAGCAGAGCACATGCGGCCTCGTTTGGTCGGTAGACGGTTTTCAAACTTGTACCAACCCAACCAAGGATACGCATCCGAACTAATTTCCGAACTAATTTCGGAGCGTACACTACAGTAAGACGTATGTATTTACAACGAAACTTGTACCAACCCAACCAAGGATACGCATCCGAACTAATTTCCGAACTAATTTCGGAGCGTACACTACAGTAAGACATATGTATTTACAACGAAAAATAAATGGTGCCGTGTAGGAAACCACGGCATTCGTCGTGCGGGTAAATGTTTGGTATGCTTACAGTTTCGTATGCCCATCTCCTGACTTATCTCTCGCGTGTTGATACGCTATCTAATTAACTTATAACGTTCTCGTGTATACATGATATAGCAGCCTTTTATTTTCATCATCCGACCCTTTCGCAGCCATTCGATGACAGTCAGCAAGTACTCCAGCAGCGATATGCACGCATTCGCATCGTATGCAACTGTGTAGTGTATGTAAGTGCAGTCTTCATCTGGTGACAGCTCTACGCCTACGACTACCTGACGTTCGACGAGGTGCGTGTGAACATTAGTGCTACAGGTCAGTACATACACGCCACTCCTATGCCCTATAAGGCAATGGGTATACGCAATGGATCATGTGCACTACTAACCCATTCGCCACTCACATCCACACTGCTGTGTGATGCCGTCGCCAGGTACGAGTCATGTGTAGGGCCCATGGCACCAGCGCTACCCTTGCGAATGCTTATCCGGCCGAAGTGTATATCGCCGCATACGAAGACAAAGCCCCATAACCATACGCAGTACTCACTCTACAAGTGTTCTGTTCAGGGCAAATACGGCAACACCATAGTACACCAGTGCATTTCCCGGAGACCTACTGCTAGCTAGCCTTCTAGAAGTGAACGTCCATCAGCTTCTCCTCTAACAAGGACTTCCGACGTGTGGTGTTGACAAAGGTTTCGTCCACCACCGGTTTGGCCGCCAAGTCTCTGTAGCGCGCAATGTCCTTGGGCTCGTACATGCCCTGAACAATCGCATTCACGGCCGTGAATAGCGGGAAGTCTTTCTCCCAGCCCTTCATTTTTAGGACCGCCTGCACCTCATTTGAGGTCAGGACACCCTGCAGCTTCTGGCCGTTGAGCAGCTCGCTTTCGAGCTGGTCGAAAGTCTTCTGGCCCTTGCACTTCGCAAATGCCATAGATACCATGCGGTTGCGTCCGCCGCAACACGTGGCAAACAGATCCGCCATACCACAGGACTCGTTGAAGGTCTCATCACGCACCGTCGAGAATATACGCTTGGCAAAGGTACGCATCTCACTCAGCCCCTGCCTGAGCACCGCCGCCTTGGCATTGTGGCCCAATTCACACCCGTCCACAAACCCGGCTGCCACCGCTACGACGTTCTTGAGCGTACCGGCCAGCTCAGCGCCTTCCACATCATTGATCACGTTGACATTGTAGAAGGATGTGTCGAACAGGCTCTTAAAGATGGTCCCGTGTTCGGGAAAGTGCGACGCTACCGTCCCCTCGCACAGAGTTCCCGGGGCCAGCTCGGTTGCTATGTTGGCCCCCATCAACACACTGCACTCCATGTGTAGTATGCGTCTGACCATGGTTGAGATTAATTGCGGGCCGTCGTGCCGCACTCGCATGCCCTTGATCAGCGATATGGCGATACAGTTGTCCTTGATGTTGAGTTGTATTTGCATGCACAGCTTGTGTACAAACTGGTGCGGAGTGCAGAATATGAGGATATCTGCGTCCTTGACTGTATCCACCAGATCTGGATTGGCCACCACGTTGTCTCCATACTTGACACCGGGCATATACTTTGGATTTTCTTTCAATTCGTTCATCTTGTCTGTCAGCTTACCCCCCTCGTAGTCCTCCTCAAACACCCACATATCCACCCTCTTGTCAAACAAGGGGGTTTCCCGAGCATTCTTGCTCACCATCTGCATCGCCGCACACGCCCACGCACCCGAGCCAACCATGGCCACCTTTAGTTTCGGTATGGCATCTGTTAGCTCGTCATGTGACGTAATCCACCAGTCAGCGTTCTCTTTGACATACGACCGCTCCACAACACCACCGTATCCTACAAACATATCAGCACCTCCAGTCTGTTCAACGGCCTCCAAATCGGTTATACCATCACCTACCATAACAATAGTATTATACGGGTTCAGTGTGCGGATGCGTCTGATTGCCTCGGGTTTGCCACCCTCGCGACTGGTGGGCTCATTCGCATCAAACCCTTTGGCGTGTATCTCCGGGTATCCATTTGGACCTACCTTATCACTCGCCATGTACACAAACCTGTTAGCAAATATATTCTCACGCGGAATATTCAGTGCGTCGGCAACCGGCAAGATAAGCTCACGGAATCCGCCAGAGATCAGAAACACCTCCACATTTCGCGCCTGTAATTCGGTAATCAATCGTCTGATTCCAGGCACTAATCGCTCTTCGGCCGGATTTGACTTGGCATATGCGATCAGTTTATCTATAGTTGGGTTCATGATATCTAGACGTTTCTGTAGAGCCTCGTCCAAGTCTAAGTTGCCATCCATTGCGGCGTTGGTAAGGTCGGCCACTTGATCCCCAACACCTAGAAAGCGGCCCAGACTATCCAGTGCATCTTCTTTGGTCACTGTGCAATCTACATCGAAGCATACGGCCTGCGCAGTTCGCCAGAGCCGCTCGCATTTCTCACGCGACAGCTTGGTATGATCTTTAGCGGACATGATTGTTTGCTTCCTGGGATAACGCGTGTGTGGACATAAGTATGACTTCTGTACAAGTGTATTGTAAACTGAACCGGGGGGCGTAGCTTGATAGAAGAACACTATCGACCTTCTGTGATGCAATTTGAAGTTCATTATTATTACTTATTTTTCTTTTGATTTATTTTGTTCCATCATCGAAAAGATATGTGTAAATATTTCCTAATTTAGGTCTGGATGACGAAAGGTGGTGAGACAAATTACGTCATGAAAAGCTATCAAATTATTCACAGGTGCAGACTGCAGAGTGCTAAATACACAAATAGCCTTCTAAATTATAATACAGGTGCTACGTATAATTTAGAAGGCTATGGTGCTAATTATAATAATTGTCTATTTTTTAAATAAAAAACAACAAAAACAATACCAGTAGTAGGCTTAATTATTTATATAAACACGTTTTAAAAATTTTAAAAAAATGTTGCGTGTGTGCGTTTAAATAAGGTTTATTTAGTAGATTGTCCTACGATTGTAGACTCCGTTAGCTCTATGTAACAGTCCACACGTCCGTGGCTTGATAGTTGATGGTCCTATTGTTGTGTTCTCTTCTATTTTTAAGTTCTTAGGTCTCTCGGTTGTAGGCGGCTGTACCGCTGTAGCCTGTAGCTATTGGGATAAATATTATTTATTTCACACAAGATGTGTGGCAGAAGTATACATTTAACATTATTATAAACCAATGGGGACCTTTTAATATTGACGGTAAATAAATATAGCCTCTAGAGAGTCCTAGAGTGGCACAATGAGTCAATGTCTTTTTTACATCAAATGTTTTTCCTTTTTCGCTCCGACCGTCCTTAGGCGTCCAGCGTCCTACGAATCATCGTTTCGCCGTATGTACCTTCTGACTTCTGTTCCCTAAAAATCGTGGCGTGCGTCTCCTGTCACCAGCCACAAACCCTTTAAGCCCTCACCTGCTATGCTGGCATTGTGGGGCTTCCATTCGTCTCTATTGAGGTATTGAGTTGGAAGTCCATACTACATTGATAAAATACTGGATATAACAAGTAGATAACTCTCTTGAAGTTCTCGGTTCCGACCTGCTTTGCCTTTGTCAGATTCGGGATGTATCTTCTGCGCAGTTATTAAAAAAAAAGCCCCAACAGACAATCCATTCCTAAACACAAAGTACCAGACAACAGTCAATGTAAAGTTAAACAAAGGTGAATATACATATACATATACAAATACATACATATAAATACATATACATATACATATACAATATATATATATATTACAAATATACACATATACAAATATTCATATATACAAATATATATAAATACATATATATACATATATATGTATTTATATAAATACATACATATATTCATATATTT